TCTCACATCAACCTCCACAGCAATTCTCACATCAACCTCCACAGCAATTCTCACATCAACCTCCACAGCAATTCTCACATCAACCTCCACAGCAATTCTCATATCAACCTCCACAGCAATTCTCATATCAACCTCCACTTCAACCTCCACATCATATCCCACATCATCAACCTCCACATCAGCCTTTACATCAACTCACACATCAACCTCCACAGCAGTTCCCACATCAACCTCCACAACAACAATGCAATGAAGAGATGATGGTTCAGGGTTCAGATATTTCAAAGTATTACGAGGTAAAACTTCCGGGAATGGATCAACCAATACTCGTTTCCAAGCTCATAGTCGAGAAAAAAGTTTTTGAACCTGTCCAATCTTCTTCACCCACCGAGTTACGCGCTGATCAACGTCCAGTAATCACGGTCAATCTACCGAGAAATACAAAGAATTCTCTTCTCTGTGAAGAACCTTGGTGGTTATCTTCAAAAGGTTCCGTTGCTTTTATTTCACAAGCTGACGATGATGATGACGACAACGACGACAACATTGAGGGTGAATACGAATCTGCACACGCGATAGAAATTGCGACGGGGGTTTGCCCTTTGGTGAAGTTACCTCCTCATGGATCGCAAAGCCTATCAATCAAATCGAGTTCAAGAAGGGAATTAATGTGGATCAACCGTTATAAAGATTATAGTCATCACAACGATATCACATCAAGCAGTATCAACTTCGAATCCGAACCACTTGTCGTACGATTACCTCCAAAAGCAATTCCTAATACGCGTTTTAATATACAGAATCTCAAAATTGAAACGAACATAGAGCTTTGTAAAGACGACGATGATGCCTTCTTTGCATCTTTGGGTTGTTCAACCTTGTCTACTCCCGTGTCCGAGACTTCAACTACCTCATTTTCAAATACGTCGACGTACGCAGAATCAGCAAACACCGTGTTTACCGAAGAAGAATCTATTAATGATGTAAAGCATTGCAATTCTCGATCACCTTCCGTACTTTCAACCCTTAGTTCTGAGCATCTTTCTCCAGTTTTGGAAGAAGATGAGGAGGAGGAAGAGTTTGAAAAAGTACTTCCCGTCGAGGAATGTCAAAAAGAGATGACAATCGAAGAACCAGTTGACTTGGAAATTTGCGGGAATGAAAGTGAGGATTCAGAACAAAAGATAGACGACCACGAGGTACTCGAGGAGCACGAGGAGCAAGAATATTTGCTCCCCCACTTATTTGAAATTGTGGAACAACTCAAGAAATTGGAACCAGATTCAGATGAGGCACTTAGGATTCGTCGACAACTCGAAAGAATCAAAGAAGAGAATTATCCGGAATCTTTACCATTGTCTAATAAATGGTAAAATATATATTTTTTTTTTACTTCATTTCATTTCATTTTTTGACTATACTAATGATAGAATTGCTTTATATTTGTTAATAGGACAATGTATTTTTCAGATACATCAGCGACGAAGACAAACACAAGGATCGTCTCGAAGAATAAATATTCTTCGACATTGAACACGGTTTTTAAGTGCAACACGGTTCCAGAATTGTGCTCAAATTTGCGTGAATTCTATTCAAAAGTTAAGCCAAGCGACATGAAAACGTTTGCGAATCTTAGCTTCTTTAAGGGGGACATAATGCCTATGTGGGAAGATGAAGTTAACCAAAAGGTAAATTATCGAGTTTTTTTTTGTATTCGGCTCACGTTTTTTTATTTTTCATTTATTAACAAACTCTTTTTTAATTTATAGGGAGGTCGTTTCACTTTATGTCCTTCAAGAAATCGACTTGATTCGCTATGGGATTCAATTATCTTGCTTCTTGCCGGTGAAACTATCGACGATAACAATGTTATCTGCGGTGCCGTCTGCGCTCGTAGAAGCAGAGGTGATCGCGTAGAACTTTGGTTAAGCGGCAATGCTGATAACGAAGCCATCGATCATATCAGGTTGGTTTAGTTATTCAATATGAAAGAGTTTCTTTAAATGATAACCGTACTAAGAGTGTCATTTTGATTATTATAGAGAACTATTGGCAGTCGAGTTAGGTAGTGACATGGTTAGGAACCTCAAATACAAGAAACACTACGAAAAGCCATGAGTTAAACTTGAACGTTACAATATATGTTATATAAATGATGTGTATTGATGTACAGACCGATTTAATTATTATTATTATTATTATTATTAATGTGAACTTTCACAAAAAAAAAAATTTTTTTTTATTTTACCATATAGTTCAAATATGGAGAAAACATCTTTTTTATTAAAAAATTTTTTTTCTTACTTGATGAGGACCGAGTTCACGATGTTATTTTTTAACGTCGTGTTAAATTTCCTTGTATATATCTCTCGTAAAGAGGTAATGTAAATAATATATTTTGTAACCTACCATTAGAGTTTTAAAAAGTAATTGTATAGCATTTTTTTTTTATTGAAGACATTATTGTGATGGCTAGTTATGACATTTCCTTGTTAAATACAGTATTATATATTTTCTTTATTTTTTTTTTTTTTTTTTTTTAACGTATCAAAAAATTTGTGTACAAATTTTCTTTTTTTTTCTATTATATTTCTTTCGATAAGAAAATGTTTTATAATGATTTTTTTAAATTATCAAAAAATTTGCATAATAAAAAAACGACAAAAAAAAAAAAAAATTAACAATGAAATGTTTAATATTCTAAATATTGCTTTTCTCTAATCATCGAGAACAAAAATTTTTTATTGATCAATATGGTGTTGAAATTTTACAATTTGGCAGTTGAGATCATCCGGAACTTATTTCTGTAAAAGGAACTTCTTTCTCCAAATACCCATCTCCTTGAATGAAAGTTTTTTTTGATAATAATGTTAATCATGACTATCTATATTTCTCTAAAATAAGAGATGATGAAATTAGGTCACATACACTTTAACGCTTACGCAATTTAGTGATGTGTGGATCATTAAATATGTCACTTAATTATTTCAACTTTTCTTTATAAAGTAAGTGAAATTCATTTGTCTCACATTACGAACAAGATTTAAGGGGATATATTTTCTCATGAGAAAAAAAAATGTCAAACATGTTTGACAGGGATAGTTGAATCGCAGAGATTGATAAAAATTTTAATTTAGATCATTATTAGTTACAACTTTAAAAAAATTAACTAAACTTATTACAATTAAATCCCCCCTTTGAAAGAAAAAAATCCCAAGCTTTGGGTATTTTTATTTTATTATTTATTGTTTTAAAAAAAAAAAATGTCAAAATTTATTTAATGAAACTAATAAGGTTATGATTGGTTTTAAATCATAATCAGCGCACAGATCAAAAAATGTCAAAATCCTTATAATACATTTTCAATTAAAAATTCTTTTAACCAAAAAAATAACAATAATCCGTGCGGATATTTTAAGTTCACCCTTTTGTTTCTTTGTTTAAAAAAAAAAAAACTTTTTTCAAGTATATTTCACCTAATATATGTCAATATATGTCGTGTATTTTATCTACATGAACTTATACAACTTTTGTAAATGATAAGCCAAATTCCGTAAGAGTATAATTCAATGTTATCATCAAGTTATCATCATGTGAAACAAAAAAAAAATTATGGTGATATAAAAAAAATGAGTTGACCATCAAATTTTTAAAATTACATTTATCTCATTAAAACTTAATGGATTACCGGATCGCACCTCCAAGTTCTTTATCTATCTTATTTTATCCATCTAAAACATCATTATCGAAAAGAATAAAAAAAAAATTTTTTTTATTTCATTCTATTATAAACATTTTTTTATGGCCCCTTTCTGAAAATAAAAAAATAAAAAAAAATATATATATATATTTGTATTAATTTTTTTTTTAAAAAAAAAAGGTCTTCCATATATGTAAGTATGAAACAGACACGTTGCGAAGGATTGATTGTTGGACTTTTGCCGATCGTGCTCATAAAGGAGGATTGAAATAATAATATTTTTTACTCAACTGAAATACAACGGGAACCGTTACAAAATTAGGTCAGAGGACATTAAATCACGGATGTAATGTCAAACCATGCGAGCATGTATTACAACATCAATAATGAAACTTTTAGTGTCAACTCTTAAAACGGGATTTCATAATGATGATTGATAATACAGACATTTATTACAAGGTAAATAAAATAGACCTTTTGAATAAAAAAATTCTCATACTATTAATCGGAATAATCGGAATAGATAAATTCAAAGATGTATATTACCATTATCTGCAAATAGTATAAGTACTTATTTTAATAAATGAAAAAGAACTTAACTTTTATATATGATTACTTCCTATTGCTTTGTATTGTATGATTTTGAGCTAATAAAAATACTTTATATGTAACCATTTTTTAAAGTTTTAAGATTTTTAACATAAATATTAGAGTTCTTATTTTTTGGTTTATAAAAAATAACTATTAACAAAATTATAGGTATATTTAATGCTTAATTTTAAGGTTTTACTGTATAAAATCATTTATTTAAATTTATAATTTTTTTTAAATAACTTTATATTAAATTTTAAGTCCTTTCTTTTATAAAAAAGAATAGTATTAAATACTTTGAAAAAAAAAAAATTTGTTAAATAATTGATATATATCAATTAATTCTACTAAATAATAGCTAATTTTTGATTTTATCATTATGATATTACTTTTTTTATAATATAAATAAATATAAATAATATAAATGATTTACTAAATTTATTTAAATATAATAAATTAAATATTCAACTTATTTTTAAAAAAAAAATTCTCAAAATAAATTTAAAAATAAAAAGGTAAATAAATAATAAAAAATAAATTTATACAATATCATTATAGAAATTTTGAAAGAAAATCCTATAATTCTATTTAATATTATATTTTGATATTCTATCAATTTTTTTACTATATTAGAAAGGGTTTTAACTTCTTAATTTCTATATTAACTTTTTAGTTATATATAATAAATCTAACATATTTATATATTAAGGATGTTTTTATATATATATTAGCTTATTAATTAGCATATTTTATTATAAATTTAATGAAAAATAATAAATAAGTCTAATAATTCCAATTCTCTCATCATAAATCTAATAAAAATATTTATTTATAATTGCTTTAGTACTAGTTAGCTTATTAAATAATATATTATTCATTTAAATCTAATGAAAAAATTTTAAGTCTAACAATTATTCTAAATTTCTATTAATAAATCTAATAAAAATATATATTAAAAAATAATTCTATGCTAATTAGCTAATTAAATAATATGTTATTCTTTTAAATTTAATAAAACACAAGTTTAACAATTCTAATTTTTTTCAAATTATCATTCAGTAAGATAAATCTAATAAAAATCAATATATCAGAAGCAATTTTAGTAAAAAGTTAGTTTAATAAGAAAATAAGTCTAATAGTCTTGATAAAAATTCAGAAAATTTGCAGAATTATTCTAATTTTTTTTTAGTTAAAAAACTATTCTATACATACTGATTTATTAAATAACAAATCTGATGAAAATTCAAGTAAAAATTATATACTGATCAAAATTAAGCAAAATTTTAGTTAATTTATTATACCTTAAATTTTGAGCATTTTCTCATTATTTTTGTAACTTTTTAGTAATTTTTTTATTTAAATTTAATTTGATAGATTGATTAGTTAAAAAATTAGAAAATCATTATTTTAATAATTTTGAGTAAATCAGCATTTTTCAGATCTAATATAAATTTTTCAATAAGTTTTTTTAGAATTGCTAAGGAATATTTATTTATTAATTTATTTTTTATTACTAAATTTTTAAAAAGATTAATAATAATTAATCAATATTTAATTTTATAATAACTAGAAAGACTTTAGCAATTCTGTAAATATTTTCTCTGGTGATAATCTTATAATCAAAAAGTGATATATATATAAAATAATTTATTAAAGAAAAAATTTTATAAACAAGTAATAAGGTAACAGTTAAAGTAGTGTTAGCATTTAGCTATTTTTTCAGTGTTTAGTCATGATCATTTGACCATTTAGCTATAACCAAAATAGCCAAATTTTATTTTAAATTTGGCCGACTAAAACTTTTTTTATACAATAGAAACAGAAATATAATTGGTTAATTGTAAAAAAAAATTGATACTTCTGATATTCAGAATGTTAAAAATTGCAATAATTGATATTTCTGATGTTTAAAATATTCTATTTTGCAAGAAATTTAATGTTCTGAATATTGGAAACCAATTTTTTTATAATTTTATAATAAATTTAATAAATTGTAATTTGCAAATAAACTGTAACCAAAATTGACAAAGTCATATAACATTTGACCAATTTGGCTAATTAGTGATTTAATCACTGATTTTGACCAATCAGTCAAATTGGCTAACAGCTAAAAAATTAGGCTTAGCCATGGCTAAATATCAACTATGAGTTAAAACTAATATTATAGTTAGAAAAACAAGAATTTATAAGAAAGATACAACTTGTAAATATTATTATTTAAATTATCAATATTTTAATAACTTTGTAAGTATTTTAAGTAAGATAATATATGTAAACTTTTATAAAATTAAAAGAATATATCCTTTTTTATTTAAAAAAACTAATTAACAACCTGTTTAAGAAATAATTCAAGAATTTATTTAGAAAGCTATTCAAGAATTTCTTCAAGAAAATATAAAAGAACCTATTCAAATACCTGTTTAAACTTTTAATAAAATACCTAATAAAGATACATTATTTAAAAATCTTAAAATCAAATAAAACTATCAGAAAGTAAAAAGAAAATTAGGCATTTTTTAAAATTTATAAATAGAAATCATACTATAATTTTAAAGAGTTTAATAGAAAGCATTTTATTTAGAAATAAAAAAGAGTATAATAAATTATATATAGTAATATATATTTTATATTTCCAATAGTATAATCTAATAAATTTATAGAGAATTATGCTTTCAATCCTTTCAAAAGTATTTGTAAGGGACTTTTAAACTTTTAAGTATACATAATTAAGTATAACTGTATCAAAATAATATATATTTTTAAATAAAACAATTAGTTATTTATAACAGAATTTAAGATTATATAGATAAAAAAGAGATTATAGCTA